TTATTATTATTATTATTATTATTATTATTATTATTATTATTATTATTATTGCAAGCATCAACAGTATATTGAATGTTTTTATTCTTTTGGGGAGTTTTGTTTTGATATTTTATTGTATTTTTAAACATTTCTTTTGTAAGCTGCCCAGAATCATCAAAATATAGAATGCCATCAGAGGGCTAGCATTCTATATTTTATAAATAAATATATAAACAAACTAGCAGAATTTGTAGAATACAGTCTGTAAACTAACCTTTAATGCAATAGAATCTTTTGGTTTTTCAGTGTTCCTTTTCCTTTTTTCCTCTACTGCTCTCATCCAAAAAAAGAAGGTGGAACCCAAGAGAAACAAAGCTTGCTCTAATATCATTAATCCCACTTTCCAAGAAAAGCTCAGAAGAGAAGAGAGAAGGACTCATCCTCTCCTCTACTGACCCAGCAACACTATGGATCTTCAGACCCAGCTAGAGCACATGACTGAGAAGAACTGGAGTAAAGAGAAGATGGAATTGTTGGAACGTTTCGACAGTGAAAGGAAAGAATGGGAATGCCAGTGGAAAGTCATGCAGAAGAAAATAGAAGAGGTATTGTGGATTATTTTCAACACCAGCAAATTAATGTGGTGATACTGTTGTTGTTTTTTTAAGGCACAAGGCTTTAGATTGCAATGGATTGGTTAGTACTTATGAACCTACTGTTTTCTAAAGTTGGTTGATGATACTGTGATCTTAGTCTTCCAATATTTTCTAAGTTCCAGTTTTCAAAATTCTTAGCCGTGCTTGTTGCTGATTGCTTTATGTAGGAATTATAGGCAGGATAATGAAGTTAAGGACATATATTAACTGTATCTTACTTTGAAGCAATCCTGACAATGGTAGCACATACTGTAGTGAAAACCACCATGGAACAATTTTTTTGTAATCACTCTAAATCTGTTTGTTTCTTTACTAACCCGGCATTACAATTTAAAAGGTTTCACTGGCTATTTTTCTATGTAAATCTATTGTGTCTTACTTACTTGTTCCAACAGAACTAATACCTAACATTCCCTACATTATTTTAACCAAACGTGATACTGTATTTCATGTCAACTACATTCTTTAAAACTGAGGAACAGATAATCACAGATAAACCAGTAGGTGCATTTAAAGTAGCTTTTTATTTACATCGATAATTATTGGAAATTACAAAATTGTTGACAGTTTCTTGGCGTGCATTTTGCATGTCTTTTACTGATAAAATTTTAATTATTTTCATCCTACATTTTCATTGTTTAATCACAAAGCAGACTTCAAAGCTAATACTTGGGTTTAGGTATTAAGCAGAAGCAGTGTTTGCTTAGTTTAGGATTTATTCATAAGAAGAATAAACCCGTTAAAATGTATGGAGCTTGATAACGATGTATAGAAAGCCAGTTTGATGTAGTGGTTAAGGCTAGAAACAAGGCTAGAAACCAGGAAACCATGAATTCTAGTCCTTAGGAAGGAGGAAAGGGCAAAGCACTTTTGAAATCTGAAAACTCCAGGGACTAGTACAGGCAATCACCAAGAGGCTATACTTGAAGGAATCAGTAGTCAACAACTTATAGGGACAAAAAAAGATATACTTAACTTCAGACCTATTGATTTTTATAGATATACTTTAAATCCAAAGATAAACAATGACTCATCTTTTTAAATAACATGTTAAAAATACCTAGTTTGTAGAAGAAAGTGACGTAAGATCACAACACTTTTATTCTGGTCAACTCTGCTATAATTAATAACGATATTCACAGTGATTATACTAACCAACATGTCATAGCCAAGATATAAAGCCGCCTAGAGTTACATAAAAGTGAGATAGGCGGTTATATAAAACAAACAGACAAATCATATATATATATCACTCAGCACCCAATTTTGCCACCTACTGTTTCCCCAATTTTCTGTTCTACTTTGGGCCCAGAGCAAGGATATTTTTCTTGTGCTCATAATAAAGCATCCTATTGAAATAAAGATAAAAATAATTTATTGGCCCGAATGTTAAATTAGCTGCCTAGGTCCATTGATCCCTAGTCCTCTCCCTTACCGTTTTTTTTTTTTAAAGAATATCCTAGATCCACAATAAAATTTCTTACTGTAATGATGTCTGGTGCTTTATCCATTGGATGTTTTGTTCATCTATGGTAGCATTTTATGAATTGCCACAGTTTTTGTAATGGATGCTATTTATTTCTCCAAATGACGGTGTACCATTTCAGCACATTTATTTCCATTTGTAACCACTGTAATTATTCCAACTTAACTGAGAAACACTTCAGTCTGAGTGCTAATTTGATACAGTATTAGGGGTATAGTTGGAGTCTGGTCAGAACTCCTTGCAGTTGGCAGAAAACATACATTCCAATGCTATATGTTTGAAACCCAACCAATATTTTAAGAGTTTTGGGATTTTCTTTGTAGTCTATGAAATGTGCTGCAGCCCTTTGTGTAATAGCTATTTCTTAAATAAAACAAAAATGTTCAGATAGTTAAGCTAATCAGTAATTTCAGGTCCAGAAAACTGATGACATCTTTTGTTTAATCAGATGTATGTATGATCATATGTACGATCACCTATCTATGAGAGACATTTTGTTTCTTTTCCAGCTTTACCAGGAGGTAAAATTAAGGCGTGAAAACAATATGAGTATCTCGGAGAATAAGCCCATTCATAACAAGGCAGAGCAACAAGCTTGCTCCCCCACCTTAGAATGGAATGACCCACCAGGATTGCACAGTTGTTCGCCAGATAAAGAGAGTTTGCAGAGCAAACCCGAAAAGGAAAGCAAGTGTGTGAAAAACAAAAGGAGAAACCATGCTTTTGCAAAAGATCATCTCACTTTTCAAACTTCTAAGGAGTCTGAAGACTGTGCAGACTTGAAAACAACCAAGAATTACACACAGGATCTCAATATTGTGAGTATATTCATATTGTGAGTAGTCTCACTGAGGTTGCGTGTTAACCAAGCTTCAACCTGTAATATTGCAATAGTTTTATTATTGAGCACTTAAATGTGGTTTGCTCATCTTTTATAAACCAGCCAGAAAGTAACAAGAGTGGGTCAGCTGACTGTCCTAACTGGAACTAAATCAATATGAGAACATGCTAACTATAGCTGCATGAATATGAATGTAGGTCTTCTGTACCAAAAATATCTTCACTAAATACAGAGTGAAGAGGTTTCAATCAATGTTTTTTTTACTTCCTTCAGTTTATTGTTATTTTGATAGAACTTCTTAAGCAGTTGGTAGCATGATGCAGTCATTATGTTAGGTCTGTGTGAAGCAGGGTTTGTTAATTTGGAACCAATGCTTCTCCATCTTTTACTTTAACCTCTCGGGGCTGAAAAAACATTCTCTTCATGAAATTAATCATAGGGTTTTTTTTTTATTACGTGCCTAATTTCTAATTTTTCTGATCTTATAACTTTTTGTCCCATTTGTCTAATGATTTGTGAATTGCAAGAAGGTCAACACATTCACTATCTCATACACACACACACACACGCAAAGGAATTCCTTCCCCAAAAATCCAGTTTATAAACCCTAATTAATAAGAGGATCTGGACTTTCAGTAATCACAGTTATGCCAATGATTATGCAGTACAAAGCCAGTAAATGCTTAAAAGGAGGAAAAAAAACTCAAAAAATTGGAAAAAGAGGGTATCTCCTCACAAAAACTTTTTGACAGCTCAAAACTGGCTCTGTATATGTCTGATCAGATGATATTCGCTTGATTCTCATGCTGAATCTTCTTTTTTGTCTTCTGGCTTTGTGCCAGTTTATTTAAAACCAGAACAAAACTGGTATTTTATTTTGCAATATTAGAGCTTGCAGGCTACCCATTCCCTTATAAGCAGAAATCCTTGCCTCCCTTTGTTTCCTAATTTCTGGGTTCAAGTAAGCAATTTCATTTTAAAGTAGTTGCTTGGGGTAAAATACCCTAAGTTTGGTATGAAAGAACAGAGAAGGAAGAAACTGACAGAATTCGGTTATCATGCATATGCAAGAAAGTGAAGATCTCAAATATTGAAAACAGTCTGTTTCAATCCTAGTTGCATTTTAAAATGCCTTTCTTGGAACCTGACAGTAGTAGGATTAGAATAGAATAGAATAGAATAGAATAGAATAGAATAGAATAGAATAGAATAGAATACTTTATTGGCCAAGTGTGGACACACAAGGAATTTGTCTTGGTGTAAATACTCTCAGTATACATAAAAGAAAAGGTACATTCGTTAAGAATCAAGAATCATAACGTACAACACTTAATGATAGTCAGAGGGTACAATCAACAATCAAATCATACTAGGAAACAGTCAATATAAATCATAAGGATACAAGCAACAAAGTTACAGTCCTACAATCATAAGTAGGAGGGGATGGGTGATAAGGAGTGATGAGAAGATTAACAGTAATAGTAGTGTACACTTTGTAAATAGTTGAACAGTGTTGAGGGAATTATTTGTTTAGCAGAGTGATGGCTTTCAGGAAAAAAACTGTTCTTGTGTAAATTATATAATGGTTCACAAACCCATTGTTCAGCATCTATTTCTCTCTCTGAATCCATTGTTAAAGTATTGGGAAATAATTTAATTGCCAAACCATCAATAGAGACTATAGCTTCAGATGCTTTCCTATGCAACTCCATGATCATAGCAAAGTGATGTGAGTGTGTCCGAATTTTTTTTAAACAAGCCATCATCTCTCATATAACTTCCTATGTTGTTACAAGTTGTGGGAGAGCCAAAAACCATTTGTTTTATTTTATGATTTGCATAGAGAAGGGGAGAGGAGATTTTTGATTTTCAGGACTAGGCAGTTGAGGGTTATTATTATTATTATTATTTGCATTGTTCAGTTGGTGCTGGAGAATTGGTGCTGAGTAGCTCATGGAGTTCTCAGAATATTTCCTATGCTTTGAAATCAATGGCAGTGGGAGGAGTAAACACAGTGAAAGTATGGGTCTTCCCCATCATATATCCTTGTGCTGTGTTGGGACCACAATTTCTAGAATTCCTAGCTGGGAGTTAGCACATGATTTGCAAATTACCCATATAGGTGGTATGATATCCAATATATATTTTGAATTATAATTCTCCAAATCGTTTGCTGTTTGTTTTGCTGAGCTAGTGTCCAAAAATTATAGAAAGCTACTCCTGATTTATTTTAGTAACTTAAATCTTGCTTTTCTACAATAAGTACCAAGGTGGTTCACAAGAAAATACTGTAGCACAAAATCATAAACATAATAAAGCCATAATTTAGTGGCTTGTCTCTATTTCAGAAAGATTGGACACTTCCTATAACATAATTCTGCATTATTCTACATATTCTATAGGAACTGAATTGTACTCAGATATTGCAATTTCTATTTCTCAAGGCCCTTAAAGAACTTGCCAAAGTAAGTGAAGACTTGTGTACCTACCAAGAAGAAATTCGTAAGAAAGCCAACCATCGAAGGTAAAGTTATCAGATTTTTAAAAAGATTTGCTTTTCTAATGAAAGAAGATAAAGTACCCCAAGTCCTACTTTCTACCTGAAATTAAATTGCCTGAGTTGAAAGCTCTCAGCACTTTTGCAGAAGCATTTATCCCAAGATAGATAGAAAGTAGACAGACAGATATCAGCATGTAGTATATTTCTATAATAGACGAGATTGATTAGTGTGATAGAAACCCAATCAGCAGGATTAGTTATGGTTCAAAGAGTTGTGCATATTAATCACTGAGTTAATTAAGTAAGGAAGCATAATTAGATAAATGAAAGATAAGCATGGGATATAAACCCAGCCCCACTGTCCCCTCCAAGAGCATCCTGTTCCTCCCCAAAAAGTGACTGAGAGACTGACTTCCTGAGTCTGTGAGTGGCATGAAAGGTACTTTTAGGAATACAGATCAAATCTTTAATTGTACTTCTTTGATATCAGTTGAGGAAAAATAATGCAAAAGCAATAGCACTTTGACTTATATAACACTGTATAGTGCTTTACAGCCCCCTCTAAGCAGTTTACATATTGCCCCCAACAATCTGGGTCCTCATTTTACCCACCTCAGAAGGATGGAAGGCTGAGTCAACCTTGAGCTTGGTGGGATTTGAAATGGCAGTCAGCAGAAATAGCCTGCAGTACTGCACTCTAACCACTGTGCCACCAAGGCTCTTATGATGCTAGCATGTTCTATTAATTTCAAATAATTTGTTTATTATTTTAACTGTTTTTCTTGCCTATACAGGAAAAAAATGCTTCCTTTCCTTGGAGAATCCATTGAAAGTGGGACTGCACCGATTACCCAAGAGACAAGCCATGCATATTATAAGAGCCCACAACTGGCTGCGGTTGCCTCTGAGATGGAAAAGCAAAATAACAGAAAGAATCTAATTAGCACCAACAGGCATTTGAAGGAAACACCATCAACTGCTCTTTCTGGGGTTGAGGAAACCAGCTTTTTGCCTTGGCAAAGACGAGAAGGGCCTCCTGTTCCCCCCAGAAGCACCTCTCGGCATTTGACAAGCTCTCTTGCAGACATTTCCGAAGCATTAGCTAAGCATGTTGAGCAAAGAAATAGCTGGGAAACCGAGGAACATCCAGATGGAAGTTCATTAATTTATCCAGCTGCTCCACTGACAGTGTCAGATGAATGTAAATCTCTTAGTGGCCCTACGGAAAATCAGGATCAGTATAATGACCTCAAATTTCCAGCAGCAATTCTTCACAGTGTGTGGTCTTGTGATGCAAGCAAAATTGAAAATGGACCTGAAAATGGTTCTTCCAGACATGCTCTCCAGAAGTGCTCTTCTGATGGATATATGATGACCCCAAAACAGCATCCCAAGCTTCAAAGTAGTATACATTGTACCAATAATCCTTACATTGCAGCATGTGATACACTGGAAGATTCTGGGTATGAAACTGGAAAAACTCAACGCAATGAAACACTGGAAGCTAAAATCGACGAGTTCAACCGGACTGTATTTCATACAGATAAAGGTAAAAAATGTTTGCTGCAGAACCAAACAGAGCCACCTGGTGTTCCTAAAGTCCACTGTGGACTGCAGGACAGTCTGAACAATGGGACACAAAATGAAGAGTCGATTTGTGTTTTGAATTCCAAGCTGTCTTCAAAGAAGGAAGAAAAAGCAAACAGGCCCAGTAAAGATGTCAAAACAAAACGACAACAAAAGCAAATAAATGGAGTTTTAAGTAGCTACCAGCACATGCTTCATGAACATGACTGGAGGCCAAGTAATTTGTCTGGTCGTCCACGATCAGCTGATTCAAGGTCCAACTATGGTGTTGTTGAGAAGTTGCTGAAAAACTATGAAAAACAAGTGCAATCTGAGACGGAATTTACTGAGAGCAGCTGCAAAAAAATGGGTCATTATCCAGTAATCCAGACAGAGCAAGGAAAGCAGGAGCAGCAGAAGAATTCAGTGAGACACCTTGGACTATACACCAAGCATGGAAAAGAGAAGCAGAAATTTCCTGAGGTATGCTTTGAACATGACATTGGTTTACTTTTAATTTCTTTAAACTGCACATGTTATCCTTGAAGAATTCTGAAACATGTCACTGAGGCTGTTAAAACTGGACTTCAGGACCTAAATCTGAATTCCAGTCATGAAGTTTGGTGCAGGACCTATGGGGTAGATGCTGATTGCCAAATATCTTTTTCTGCTACCACCTCCTACCTCCAATGTACATCCAGGGATGATGGCTTAGCGCCTGTTCAGAAAGTTGTCAAGCTGAGATTCAGGCATGTCTACTATCTTTAGATCCCTGGAGAGACACTGTCCCTGAGAAATGAATCAAGTGAGAATTTTGAGGTGTTCACTGAGTAGAGTGCCAATTTCCTCATTCTGGATTTAAGTGTGAGAAAAGGAAAGGCGTATTCTTCACCATTAACCATCAAACTGTATAGAAGGGAGTGAGCATGATTATTTTATTGTTTTACTTTACAGGACTTACAACCCCTCCTCTCAGTCCCAAAGAACTCTAGGCAATGTGCAACTTCAAACAAACAGAAAACACAAATCAGAACAGTTTCAAAGACAAAAATATAGAGAGCAAAAATAAAACTTCAAACTCCAACTCTAGGATGGCTGCCCACAGTCAGCTAGGGCTCAGAAGTATTGAAATAAAAATAAAAATAATGGTGGATAGAAATAAAAAGAAAGGTTGAGAAAGTGACTTAATAAGCCAAGGTCTAAGCAGGAAAGTGTCGGAGGACATAGTGGTTTAGTCAAGATCATATAGCAAATAACAATAGCACTTATATACCACCTCACAGTGCTTTACAGCCCTCTAAGCAGTTTACAAAGTCAGCCTATTGCCCCCAACAATCTGGGTCCTCATTTTACCCACCTCGGAAGGATAGAAGGCTGAGTCAATCTTGAGCCTGGTGAGCCTAAACTGTGTAGCTGATTGTTAAAAGTTAAATATCAGATGCTTGTATTCCATATGCATTTTACATAGATAACCATGGTAAAAATGTTCTTCAGGTTTCTTTATAATTCCTCCCCTGCAAAGAATTTTGATCCCCAAATTCTTTAAAACTACAGCAAAGTTGTTGAAAAGAGCAGAACATGCACAATCTGGGCCAACTACATGAAGGTGCAGAGGTGTGTCTTTAAACAAAAATAGGTCCAAGGGCCTATTTATTCCAAAATAAATGCATAAAGAATATTGTAGATCGTGTATTCAGTTATGATAAGTTGTACCATTAACTATACACTGTCTTTTCTTGGGAATAAACTTACAGCATTAGGCTGAAGTGATAATGCATTCCAATTAGTAATATAATATTTCATTTATCTACAGTATTAACGTAACATCTGTATTGTCCCACTCTTGGCAATCTTATAGTACAAACATTAAATTCAATAAAGTAATGAAAACAATAAAACAGGCATGTTGCTCTCCCACTAAGTTTCCAGGGTCTCCAAGGGCTGCTTAACAATAAAGGTTTTTAAGAGCCCCCTGTAAGCTAGAAGGGCAGGAGGCCAGCTCTCTCTTGATCTCACAGAGTTGGAGCTACAGCCAAAAAGGTCTGGTTTCTGGTTCCTGCCTCCTCACTTCATGCTGGGGTAGCTCCCTGAGCAGAGCCATTGCTTGATGAGTAACAAACCAGACAAACTCATTTTGTATAGATAGTCTCTGAGAAAGCCAATTTCCATTGCGCAACATCCTAGAGACCAGTATCCCAGTTGAAGGGGCTTTGTGAGTTACCCCATTAATCTTCCTACTCTTACGTTGAAATCAGTTGGATGGACTCAAAGGAATGTACCTGCATGGGTGCAAGGGGAAGGTGATTGTGCTTGCCAGCTCATGTATCACTGGGTCAAGATATAGCAGTATCTAGTAGTGAACTGAGTGCTAAAAGAACTTCAATAGCAATAAGACCAATATTACAGAGAAATAAAATGAACTGGCCTTTTTGATCAAGTATGTAAATGCAGCATTTGGAAAAGTTAGTTATCATGAAGTAAGAGGTCATGAAGGGAAGGAACTCTCAGTATTGTTTCTTTCCTGTAAAAAGATGGCAGTTGTTGAGGCAACTAGCTGGCCAATATGCTTTCTCTCTGCTGGCACATATTTATGTTTATTTAATATTTATTTAATTTGCAGTTCTGATATTTACATACCTGTGAGGAGGAATTACAGTGATTAAACCCAACCATAAAATACAATTAGTACAGGGAGCAGTGCACAAAAGAAGTACTACAGAAGCATCTACTAAAACACAATTGTGCCTAAACCCAGGGGCTTTTTGCTCATATGAAACAGAAGAAACAGAGCCCCTTAGTTCTGACCTGTTCAAAGAGCTGGATGCCTAAAACCGAGCAAAGTTGAAAAGTATTTCATGCACAATCAACTCTTTGAGATTGCTTGGATGATCTTCTACCACCTAAAGTGTAAGTGGACAAATTGCTCTGGTTTGCTTGCTTTAAAAGTGGGAGGTTCACTTTTGGAGCAAGTGAAACTTTTGGAGTTTCAGGATTTTTTGAGGGAAGAAATGGTCCTTTAAAGAACTGCAACAGTGTGGCACCCAAATTTCTCCCTTAAAACTACCCCAAACTCTCCCAGATATAAGAAATAAGCTCCGAAGTCCACAGAAAGGATGCAGTGAGTCATGTAAAGCTTCCAGACTTCATCTTTGGGATTTCTGGTCAAGAATCTAGGTAGCCAGCAAAAAATATGCATAGAACAAAGACAGAATTCTTCAGGGCGCAAGCAGCATGCTATTCTAATTATTCTCCTCAGATCCTCCACAGCTGATAAATACAGACAACTGTTTGGAATGTAAGCAGAAGCTAGGTCTGCTGTGAAAAATGATGCTGCTTTATCATTCTGTAGGAACTCAATTGAAAAAAATAGTAATTAGGGTTTTTTATTATTTTAACTGTAAAATGTATTCTGCTATTCCAAGAGGATAACATAGTCTTGATTAAGGCTAGAGTTAACCTTATTTATGTTGTTATAAATGGCTATGGCCTCATTCTTTCTTTTTAATCAATATCCTCAATTGTTAGAAAATGATATGGTATGGTTTTAACTGTTTTGTCCTCAGAAACAGGACAAAAAAAGGATCAGTGGCACTAATACTTTTAGATAATTTTGGTATAACTACCATACATAATATAATGAAAAATATAGCATTTGTACATCTAGGAAAATGTACAAATTTTCCACAAATCTTTGTGGAAAAGATACAAGATGCCCTGATTATATGGATGGATGCTTGATGAACTATGTCAAACTGCTGAAATAGAAACTATCCAGAAGAGAAGCTCCAGAGCAGGGTGTGAATTTCTGAGGTAGGCAGCTTTTAGTTTAGTTTAGTTTACTTTATTGTCATTGCACTTCATACAAATTTTAAAATTTAAAATTTTAGCAGTTGCCAGTTCAGTTGTGTTGAAACAGTGATAATTACAAATGGAGAGAAACACAAACATTTCTAAACTGCTTTTAAATTACATCTGTAATATACACACAGTTATTTAGTGATTCCATGACTAAATTTTCATGGACATACACCTGGAACCTGCAAGAAAATATGTACAGTCTCCCTTGGATTGGCAGAATATTCAATATGCAAACCTATATTAGCCAACTTTATATTAGGGCCAGCTTTAAACTAAGGTTAACCAGGCACTGACCTAGGACACTAAAACTTAAAATGGCACCAATGATGCCCACCCTTCCAAATTATTTTAAATATCCACATCTCTGCATTGGCAGGAGATGGCACTATCAATCAATGTAGCATAATATCTCTGAGCCAATTTTGCTCTTTTTAAAAAAAGTAAAAGCTGAAATAAAGAGTCATGTTTAACTGTCTCTAATGGTTCTTTTTGGGCTTGGAACATTCTGGAATTGACGTTATTAGGAGATACAGAGAAGCAATAGGTGAGTGTAATACCTTAAAAGAAATAACAATCTGTCAAACTAAGGTGGAGTTCTGGTGGTATCTTCACAACAACACAAGGAAGTGGTTTGCCATTGCCACTTCTAGATTGTTTTCAGTTTCCTACTCTTGCCTACACTCCTGACATTTTGGGGGGTTCTCTTCCATCCAAATATTAACCAGGACTGTTCCTGTTACCTTTTTAAGATGAACCAAGGTTGAACTGTTACTCCGGTCTATAACTCTTTATCTGCACTAAATTCTACCACATACATTTTTCCTTGGGAAGAAGAAAGGAGGAGATTAAGAATAAATACATAATGTCTAACATTCTTATCTGAGGCAAATCTTTTAAATTAAAATTGAGCTAGTATTGTGTGTCCCAAAAGTGCTTTTTCAAAAGGCAGCTGGATTTTGTTTTTCCTTGAAGCCATTTTGTTTCTCATACAGGAAGCTTCTTGGATGAGAAGCTAAATAACTAAGTCCAGTTGCTTTTTGAAAAAGTATCTTTGGGACAACCATGACCTGGATGACTGAGAATTCCCGTAGACATCTAGCTCTAGTATTAAGGATATTTCAACATAACATACAGATTTAACACAAGTAAAGCCAAATGTAGAATTTTTTGCATAATTTGAATTGAAGCTATTTAAGGGGAGATACCAACTGTGAAACCCAGTTTCTCTATTTGTATGTGTGAAAAGGCTGTAAGTATAATGCACACCTGCACACCTTGTCGTGACTTTTTATCCATAAAGCCTTCAAAGATCCTAATGGGGAATGTGCAGACAAGTTGCCATTTAATCCTTCAGTGTCTTATCTTTTTTTTTCCCCAATAGGGTGCAATAAATTGTTTATGCATTTAAGATCCTGAGTACATGTTGACAGAGGACTTGCATGCATAACAAAGTCATCAAATGGCCATTTACTTTGCAGCTCAGCTCTTTCTAGCAGTTGGGGGGGCAAAGAGAGAGAGGGTAATCTGCTTTCATTCTAAATTAAAGCCACTTATGCATTTTGTGTCTTACTTACATGTCACAAACTTCTTTGACATGTGCAAGAATTCTTTGGTCATTACATCTGTACATTACTATGTAAATGGTAAATACATTCCCCAGATCTTTTAATAGCTTGAGGCCACCTGTTATAAAGCCGGCCACATTCACCATGCGATTCTCTTCAGATTCCTTGGATGCTTTTGAAGGGTTTTGTTTGGAGACCTTAACTTAAGCGGACACATTTGTGTTATAGGTATCTCTGGCAGCCAAGCAGTCTAATGGCAAGGCATTCTCACGTCCAGCTCGCCCAGCAAACAGGCGCTTACCTTCCAGATGGGCCTCCAGGTCTCCATCAGCACCACCAGCAATGAGAAGAACACATTTGGACGAAATTGCCTGAGACTTTTCAGTGGGTCTGAACCAACTTGTGGATTCAGGAGTGATGTGAAAGTACCATGTTTTTTGAAACACTCTTCCATATTCACAACCAGAACTAGTTCTATGCAACTCTACTACATTGGTCAATAATAACCATCTTTTTGACTTGCTGAAAAAACTCTTTGGATTCTTGGTTCATTCTTACTGTCTTCAGTGTTTTATCAGTTAGATAAGGATTCCCTTTTCCCTGACTGTGTGGATACATATATTTAACTCATACTAATTTTTCTTTGAATATCATGTCATTATTCATCTCCTTAATCTGTTTTTAATTTAAATTGAGTGCTGTACATTCTGACTTCCCCCACAAAGGGTAGGAAGAAATGCTGTGTGCATGATCATGTCATGTTAGATGCATGTGTTGAAATAAGTGCATTTAGTTTGTAACTACTATAGAAAAGATTATTGCCGTACCAAGATGCCTACGTATAGTCATGTAGTTTTCAATGTTTGAGATTTGTTTCAAGGTTTGAATGAATGTATGTATGTATGAATGAATATATCAATATAGTCCTGGGAGAATGCATAAGAAGAGATCTGCTCAGTTATGCAAAAGCCCATCTAGTCCAACATGCTATGTCTCCCAGGGACCACTATATCCCAGGGAAATATGTCCCTGTCAATACTTACATTCTGTATATCTTTTATAGGCTTTACAGGTCTAGTATTTAATATAAAAATTAACTTTATCAGATAGAAAGTTATTTGCAATGATGTTGTTGAAGCTGAATGGACTGGTTTTTCATTCATGCTTCATGTGTCCCTTTTAATCTGCCATTCTTGAAATGTTGCAATGTTCAGTCTGAAGTTTTACTAGCATTTTTTCCAATTCAAAGCATTTACTTATAAGCGATTAGCTTTTCTGAAAGTACAAGCATTTCTAAAAAGAACTTCTATTATTTCATTCAATATCACTGTATATGGCTTAGAAACTAGACTCAGATAATAGCATCAGAAGAAACTTGTTAGATCATGCCAAATGCCCATCCTGTCCCTGTGACCAACCATATGCATTAGGATATGAAGTGGAAAGCCTCTTCTTTTCACCCCCAGCAGCTAGTATTTCAGGTAGTCTGTTTTTGGACTTGGAGATAACATGCAGTAGTTCTTGACAGCCATGGGAAGCTTATTTGATCAGCAGCATAGGTTGAGTCTGGGGAAAGAAGGAGACAGATGTCTACTCAGCATCTCAAGAGCAAAGCTAAACTTATCAAGAGACACAGATCTTTCCGTGCAAATTATCCCTTGTCCTGATATGACCACTTGTGCCAGCCGCACCCAGGGATAGATAAATGTGCATAGTAACAATGTCCAGACATGCAAACAGATAAATTAATGCAAATGGCGTTTGTGATCGCATGGTGGCTCATGTAGTCCTTTTAATTCCACTTGTTAGCCTTTTTTCTCCATTTGCCTCAATGTGAGAGTATAAGAAATAACCCTGAAAGATAGAAGGAAGAGCCCTCAACAAGGAAACGGCCACACAGTCAGGTTTTTGAGCCTGGGCTAAAAGAGCAGTGTGAGAAAATGTCTTTCACACGCTTCTCCCTAGTTCAGATGAAATGAGCAAAGGGGAAGGATGCACATTCAGATTTGCAAGATTCTGTTACTGTAACAGTTACAATAAAAGTAGTCTTGATCTATACGATATTGGTTTCATAGCCTGGTCTACCTTGTAGGGCAGACACGCAGTATGTTTTAAAGGAGTAGTGAAGTCACATACAGAATTAACATTAAGGTTTTCCTGGATCAGGATTTCTTCATATGGATTCAGTTAACTTTCTTATTTGATTGCCTACCTGCACTTAGAGACTCTGGTCTTTAGTAAAGCAAAGTTAAAGCACGGAGGCAGATAGATAAGCAACATTACGGCTATCTGCCATGAAACTCCTTTTTTGGACTTGTACTCAGCAGAGGTGGCAGCTACCAGTTTACCATGATAAATAGAACCAGCCTTGCTAAGTACTTGCATAGAAGCTCACCAGGAATCCCAGAGCGCTATATAAGACTGAGAAGTCCAAAACAATTATCTCAGAACAAATCAATGGCAAACCATTCTGATCTGTTTGCCAAGCAAATAAAAGGGTCATTCCTACATAGCTGCTAGAAGTTGAGCTTGATTTAAGGAAGGCTTTATTTTACTGAACTTGACTGATAGAAATGGCTGTCAGTTACGAGTTCACTTGATTTTGGCACAAGCTTGACAGAGTGTGTAAATATTGCATCCAGATGGGATTGCTGTGGTGCCAGAAATCCTAGACGAATGCCATTGCAGGCATGTATTTCCCTTAATCTATCTCTGTGTTGTTGGCTGTTGATATGCTATGTATGTAGCCTGGTTTATTTCTCTTACCAGCAACCAAATGAAATATCAATTCTGCAAAGCTGCCTTATTGAAAGTCATCAAAAATCTTCTTCCTCTTTAGGGGTCCATCCACTCACATTGAATGGCAATTACCTGGCTGAGCTAAAACAAAGAGACAGTTCTCTTACATCAGCTTGGTCTTTAATCTCTCCCTCTGTACCGCACATCAGAAAAAGTAGCATTTCAGGCCATAACATCTCTGACATATCTGCCTAAGGGGGTCTGTTCTTAACATAGCAAAGAAAGGGAGATCCTTTAGTTGCTTTTGTGAAGTAATCATGATACCTTGAAGAAAATTGTTACATTTTTCAGACAGCAATCGTATTATCATTGCCTTGTCATAAGACCCAGACAGAATTGCTTTGGCATGTATAATGTAGTAGTTAATTTTATTGAACCTTCTCACAGCAATCCATAGGTCATACTTGGTGCACAACCCTGTGTCAATGTTTCATTTTCACATTCCCATGTTTTATGAAATTGCTATTCATAGTGAGCAACAAAATAGGAAGCATGATGGCTAGTGGTTAAGATGCTGGGCTTATCAACCAGAAGGTTGGCAGTTCAAGTACCATGTTACGGGGTGAGCTCCCATTGCTCATCCCAGCTGCTGCCCATCTAGCAGTTTGAAAATGAGTAAAGGCAAGTCAATAAAAATGTACCACTTCAGTGGGAAAGTAACAGCATTCCGTGCACCTTGGTATATAGTCATGCTGCGCACATGACCACAGAAGTGTCTTTGGACAATGTTGACTCCCTTGGCTATAAAATGGAGACGAGCACTTCCCCCTGGAGTTGGCATGACCAGACACGGGAAATCTTTACCTTTCTTTTGTGAATAACAAAGAAAAAGCATTGCAAATTATTCGAACCCTTTTTTCTTCCCCAAAATGCTTTGGACATTTTATGAAGAATTGCCTATCAATCCCAAGTCCAACTCTAGTGACTCGATGCACAAGTTGTGTTTTTTCTTCAGGGGAAAGCTGAAATTCTAAGGATGTGGACTTCTGCCAATTTCTATAATCCCCAAGTTCCTTTTTAAATTGTGTAACTGCTCTGCATAGTAATATATTCGCGTGTTTTTGTTCTCTTACAATTCTGTTGTTTATTTGTATACTGGCAAAATAACCGTTTATTGTAGCAATGTACAAAATACAGAATGCCTTCCACCAATGGGTTTCCTTTCTTACATGGGAGTCTCAATATGATCTAGCTTTACTGGTATAAGAAGTCTCCTCATTCACTGGCCCGGGAAAGTACTACCAGGATCCTTCACAGTAATTTCAATGGGAAAGATAACTTTTAAAATAATCTCTGCATTTCCCAAGTCACAACCACACTACTGCAATTTAGCAGCTTTAGAAAGTGATGCAAGTTCACCCCTTGTATCTAGTTTTCAATTTGCCTATCAATATCACATCGATTTGTGTAGAAATCAAATCTGACATTGTGCACCTGGCTCCATTATGATTTCTCTAAAATCATTTATTGTTAGTATTGGGAGTTATTGGCAGTCTATATTTTGGATTATTCTTGCTTCTCCACATTTCCTAGCTTCAGATTACAACTAAACTCATACTTAGCAATTTTATTTGTTATTGTAATATTAGATGGGAATTGCCTGCAGCCTTATCAGTACTATAAACCCAGTCTGAACCCTTCTAGTCACTTCAGGATCCCATTTAAAACAGCCTGGCTTGATTTTCTCCACTTATATAAGGAGTGAATTCCTGTTTTGCTGGATCTTTTAGTTTCTGGTTTCTGTTACTTTCCCCCACATACATCAACATACACATATTGAGGCAATCATATGTTGTATCCATAACTAGACCTTTCATGATAATCCGTGGTTGCAAAAATGTGACCACACTCTTCCAACATTGCAGGGAATTGGGAAAGGAAAGTATTGTTCAGAAACATGTACCCAGAATGCTTGTGTATTTCTGTGCGGTGCCAGAGTACAAAGTACAATGGTATCTCAGTACTCATTGTTTTTCTATTGTGTGGAAGGAGGAGATGGGGATTTTTATTACTCCAAGAATTGTGACAGGTCACCTTAGAAATAAATCTCCTTAGGATGGTGGGACATACCACCTAATATCTATGCCCCTATTATATCTTGAGGTGTCATCAAAGTGAGGTTTGTGCCTTAATCGCCTTCAGTTAATTGTATCTTGGAAAGGTATTGTTACTGTAAAGTCTCAACCAAATGGCTACCCATTTCTCCTTATATAGTGAAATATCTCTGTGTTGTTCAGCCTATAACGATCTGTTGGTTGTTATATTGTCATTTATTAGAACAGGTCTGCATTTTGGTACAGAATATATTAAATCTGTTCCATTTCCTGGGTTGTTCCTAGGAACATAGAGCAATCTTCCTTGTTCTGTGAGTATTTTACAAAATGTGTTTAAAATTTCTTGTGTAGGCGGCAGTTGCACAAATGCAATAGCTCATTTTAATGCCAGTCCTAGCAGAAAACAAAGGCAAATTACCAAAGGATAAGAACTAATTAACTTTGCATGGTAAATTTTTATTCCCAAGACCAAATATGGAAAAATAGCAGAGAAGAAATTTAAGACAGTATTGTGTCCCTCTACAATTCGTTATTTTTTTTTTCAAAAAATCAAAAATATAAAAGGTACAATGAAAAAAACAATATTTTGTCCACAATTACACTTTTCTATTTGTTTTGTTGAAATGTTCTATCCTATTTCTGTTTTGGAAAAGTGACTTGAAATTTTGCCAAGGTATATAGCCTGCATGATTGAGGGGTCAACTATCCCTGTAAACATTGTCCATATCGAGTGTTCTTTAATAAAATGCTTAGCTAATCTTTGTGTGCAATGGCTCCTTCAAGTCAGATATTGTCCCCTTGTCTGAGTTGAAATGGAAAACCCGTCCGCAGCTTAGATTCGCCTGTAATTTCTGCAGTAAAATATGACACCTGCAGCAAGGGGCAGGAGAATTAGATCTACATGTTTTTTTTCTGTTGACTTCTTCTCAGTGATGGGATTCAGCCAGTTCGCACTATTTTGGGAGAACCGGTTGTTAACTTTCTGAGCAGTTTGGCGAACTGGTTGTTGAAAGAAATCATTAGGGCAGAGAACCGGTTGTTAAATTATTTGAATCCCACCACTTCTTCTGGTTCCACCCACTCAGAGTTCTAGAACTGAGACTTAGCAATAAAAAAAATGAGACCTGATACAAAGACCAAAACTCGATTCACATTCACAGTACCTGCAGGTTCCCCCCCCCCCCTAAAATGAACCCATTTTTGGTCCCCGGAGT